AGCACTAGCTTTGCTGAAGCGCGCACGCAGCTTAACGCGGCGATCGCATGCGTTATGCCTGATGGTCAGTCAGCTCAGGTGGTGTTTAGATACTGGACGTAAAGTTTTGAGGTGTCACATCTGATGTTATAAGAGATATTGCATGGAGTGTTCAGATACTAATAAAAAATAAATTACTTTTCGTCAGTAAACCGTGAGACGAATTTATTAAGCCTAATTAATCCGTCATTGGTGCATATGTTACTGTAGCACTTTATTGTCAAATTATGGACTAATTAGGCTTAAAAGTTTTATCTCGTAAAGTAGTCGTAATCCGTGCAATTAGTTATTTTTTAGTCTATATTTAATACTTTATGTATGTGTCTAAACATTCGATGTGATAGGACGTAAAGTTTTAACGGACAAACTAAACAAGGGCTCAGTTGCTCTGCACGTAGCCGCGATCCAGTGAAAAGAAAAGCCAGCCCCTCACCAGAAAACGCTGGCTTTTAGGCTATTTCCAACGACAACACCCAAAATACAAGATCTATTCGTCCTTTGGGTAGCGCTACAGGTAAAAGTTTCAATACATATTCGACATCTTCTCCAACAACGAGACCAAAAAGAGATTTTTTTCTACAAATAGGTTTCCAGGAGAGATGATGCACATATTTGGATTGTGCCTCTCAGATAACCCAAAATAGGTCTTCCATATAGGTACTCTGTTGAAGGCTAATTTTAGATCTTTTACTTTGCCACGCACAACGCAATGCATCAAATATATACAGCCTATTCGTTTGACTTGCAGCGCGCAGAGCAAGCGGACGACGCTAGTGGGGGCGGCTACGGACGCCAAGTATTACCGTTTTTATTTATTAATTTTTCGGTAGCCAGATTTGTGAGCTACTTTTATACTTAGACCTTGTTTAGTAAAGTTTTGAGGTGTCACATTGGGTGTCATATGGGGTGTCGCATGGGGTGTTTGAATACTAATAAAAAAGTAAATTATAGAATCCGTCAGAAACCACGAGACGAATTTATTAAGCCTAATTAATCCATTATTATCACATGTGTTACTGTAGCATTTTATTGTTAGATCGTGGACTAATTATGCTTAAAAGATTCGTCTCACAAAGTAGTTTCAATCTGTATAATTAGTTATTTTTTTAAGTCTATATTTAATACTTTAGGTATGTATGTAAATATTTGATGGAATAGAGCATAAGCTTTTAGGTTAGTAACTAAACAAGGCCTTACGACGGAAGATGGACTCAGAGTTTTGTACAGACATCCAAACGTACTGAAATTGCATCATAGTTCGAGCCAGGGCATCTGTACTACCAAACAGGCTAACAAAAGCTAGCGTAGCGGGCCTTCGGGAAACGGCAGGGCCTTTTCACGTACGCGCCTCGCTGCACACGCGGGGCGGGCCTCACGTGGACTAGGCTCTTGCTGCTTCGCTAGCTTTCCTTGCTGCCCTTTCACTCGCGTCACGTCTCGCATCTTGTGCAGTGGCCGGCGGGCGGCGCGGCGGCCATCTCATGTCTTGTATATAAAAGGCAGGGAAGGGCACCCGTGTTCGATTCAGTTTCAGTTGTATCCCTCTGTCGCCGCTGAGACCAGCGCCGAAGAAGAAGGGAAGAAGAAAGGAATCGGCCGGAGCAATATGGAGCTCTCTCGCAAGCTCTTCACGGCCGTCCTCCTCGTCATGCTGCTGCTCGTGGCCGCAGGTACGTGCGGCGGGCTGGCTTATATATCATCTATTCGTCTGCGAACGTGAACTCATCTGGTACGGTCTACTGATCTGAGATGGTGTTTCGGTTATACACGTGCATGCGCATGCAGAGATCGGGCCGGTGGCGGTGGCGGAGGCGCGGACGTGCCAGTCGCAGAGCCACAAGTTCCGGGGCCCCTGCGTGCGCCGGGCCAACTGCGCCAACGTCTGCAGGACCGAGGGATTCCCCGACGGCAAGTGCCGCGGCTTCCGCCGCCGCTGCTTCTGCACCACGCGCTGCCGCAACTGAGATTCGCCCGCTCGCCCGCCGGGCCGGCCGGGGGAGCATGCATGCCCGGCGACGCGGCGGCGAGTGCATGCGCGCGGGCCCGTTTCGATCTGTCGCCGTGTCGCGCGTTGATCGCGAACAGTCCATGAATAAGAAGTTTGTGTTTGTGTGGTTTGTTTTGGACTTTTTGTCAGCTGGTGTGACAAGTATCGTCGTTTGTTGAGTCGTGGATCGATGGGTCTAGTAGTGTGTGCTGCCTGTGCGTGCTGCTGTTTCCTCTGTCCCCTCAGTGTTTCGGTTTCTCCCATAGCAATGCGTTGAGATCTACTACTCCTAAGAGAAAATTTCGAGCTCCCCATCTCCATCAAAGACGACATGCGTGATTTGTTTGTCTGTCACACTCGACCAGCAGATCAGTAGTCACGCTGGCCATCATCGGAAAAAGGAAAGATGACAGTGGAGTAGTAGAATACAGTCGCACACACGAGACCACAGGTTGCCTTTTGGCTTCTCGTGTTGTCACGTGTTGCCACCACGGGTGATGCGTGCCGACACGCGGATGCACGGACTTCTATTGCTTGGTGTCGCGTTCTTGTATATTGTATAGTGGTACATACTTGTACCCCACCACATGCTAGCGTGTAGCGTGTCGCGCATGAGCCTACTCTGAGCCTCGCCGTCGCACCTACGTGGGCTTTGGTAACACAAAGTTGGGCACCGCCGCTTTCGTAGCCGGCCCGCATTTGAGGGTGGTCGCCAGGAGAAATAGCAGAGATCGGTACCTTCTTCCTCCTTCGGCCTCCACCTTCGGCCCGGTTTGGTTCACTCTAAATCCAAATTTTGACACTATACAAAAAGAAGATTCCCCATCACATTAAACTTGCGGTACATGCATGGAGTACTAAATATTGACGAAATCAAAAACTAATTGCACAGTTTGGTTGTACTTTACGAGACGAACGTTTTGAGCCCAATTAGTCATCGTTTGAACAATTATTACAAAATGCAAACGAAATACTACAGTGGTTACTGTATCTACAGTATATAGGGCGGCGCCGATTTCGGCCGCAACTAAACGAGGCCTTCATAAGCCGTGCCGACCTCCTACAGTCCTCGGCCGCGCTCAGTGCTCTGCAGCGGGAGCGTGCAGAGGCGTGCTCCGTGCCCCTGCACTGCAGGCCGCGAGCTGCGGCCATGGCGCCCGCGGAGGTGTCCAAAGATGAAGCTCTGCAGGACAGCACACCTGGGTCCATGGCAAGGTCCAAGCACTTGCTGCACGATGATGGGTGGCATTGAAGCTGAATTGGCTGTGGTGTCAATGTGTCATTGTCACCGAGGCATGTCATATATCAGCAAGGAAGAGGAGTACCGTAGCACTGTTTTCTGGTGAATTAGTGATTACATATGAGAAGATACAACTGAGCAGATGAATGATGTTGCAAAAACGGTTTGACAGGACACAGGAGTATGTAAAGGGTTTGTAGTTGTTTAGTTATACGATTGGAATAGAATAGTCAACGTTTCCATTCTAATTATGTACAGCCTGTTCGGTTGGCTGGTTCGTATCGTTGCTGGTTCGTGAAGAAGTACTGCTGGCGAATTTGTGTGAAAGAAAAATAGTATTTCAGCTGGAAATTTACGATCGTATACGACAAGCCAAACGAACCGGCTGCTATATGATTCCACCTTTAAGCAACAGCTCTTGTTTATTGTATTTGACGACACTGTGTTATTGCATACAATGGATTTCAACTTAATTTAACAACATTTTTTTTGTGTGATGCATAGGAGAAAGGAATTCAATTATGTCAATATGAGTCATTCAATGCCAATAGAGTAATAATCTTTTCAACCAGAATTTATACCGATGTGACTCCATCACTTTTGAATATATCACCGTACTGTATAAATGTGTCTTTTCCCATTGCAACTCACGGGCATTCACCTAGTCTTTTTTGAAGACGGATGATCCAAGAAAAAGCTTTTCCTGGCCATGTTGGCCTGTAATTTACAGATGTATTGTGTATAATACCTGTCTTCCAGACAGGGTTTAGGCATCACATGTAATCTAGGCCCCATAGTCCTATTGTCCTTGTCTGACTCCCTCGCACCAAAATTTAAAACTGTGACTGGACTGCAGATCGTGTGCAGTTGTAACCGCTACTGCAACATATGCAGTACCAGCATCTCAGCTATCCACTGAACAGGCAATGGTTAAGATGAGAGACTACTTTTCTCCTTCCTTTTCTTTCACACTTCTGTTGTTAGCCACTGTTTTGGAGAAAATAAGACTAGAGACAGCTTAACACAAAAGAGTCCATCAATAATTAGAATCTTTTGCGGCATATATTTTACTTAAACTGTTAGCTTGATGTCCTCTAAATCGACGGTCAGGAAAGAGCATATGTTGACACAAATGAGCATAATTGAAAGCTTACATCCCCAAGTAGCAATGCTGATTTCCAGATACCGATGCAAGTTTGTTGGTTACGTTCATGCCTAGCCTAGGACTACGAGCTACAATACAGGACTGAGCTGAGCCAGAGCATGCAAAGGAAATGTCTCGCAAATATATACAGAGATCCAGGAAAATTATATAAACGAGAACAAATCCGGAATCGCTTACCAACAAAGTACACAAGCAATCAATCCTTGCCATCCCAGACTTTCATGGACAGTTTCTAGGGTGCAAAGCTACTCCCGCCGTCTCTGATGGTTCAATTCACTGCTGCCAGGCCATCCCATTCCCATATGTATACACCCCCAGTAGTCGAAACAAACGCAAAGCAAACCCCCAAGAGGAGATTACAAACTATCAAATTCAGTTCATGACAGACCAAGGTCGCCAGGACCTCATTCTTGATCATAGCAAACACTGGAAATCAAAATCTCAACCTATAGTATCGATCGTCAAGGCAATAACTGACTGACTGTTTCTAGGGTGCATCCATCTCCTTTTCCGTGAGCGCAACTCTATCGCCAGTCTTGCTGATGTCTTCACTAAGCAGCTTCCACAATCTACAGATTCTTCCCTTCTTTTTCCTCAATGGTCTTTGCCTTGCGATAATCCTTGTCCGTCCCGAACAACCTGAAACACAACCAATGAGCTTCTTACGTAATGGCGGAGTTTAGAGCCCCTGCACAACTCAACAGTCATGCTACGGATCCTCACCAGTCCATGTAAACAAATGTCGAGGCATAGTTCCCTGACTTTGTGTACAGCACACGGTGATGGTGGTCATGGAAGTCCGAGCTATTCATCATGACAAAAGTTGAGCACACGGTAAAACGTTCAGCTTCAAATAAACAAACACAGTCCCTTTTAAGAGGGGAAAGGAAAACAATGATCTAGCTTACTTACCCGCCATACAGTGGCAGGAAATTTGATGGGCTCCATGGGAAGTGATAGCCGCTGTGAGCTTCAACTGTCTCCAATACCCTCAACACCATCCACAGCCACAAGGTGAACAGATGAGGGCCAGTAAGAGCAGGACCAACAACTGTGGCGAATCCCAGGAACAAAATTTCAGCTGGGTGGGCATATTCAGAAGTTAAACCAAAGGGTGTGGCGTACCTGCAAGGATTTGTTCTGTCATAGACTAGAAAATGTTGCAACATGTAAAGTAAGATGTAATGAAGCAATACCACTTACTCGTGGTGGACGCTGTGAACATGTTTGTATAGCCATTTCGTATGCTGTGCCCTGTGCCCCCAGTAGAATATAAAATCCTCAAGGACAAAGTAGAAAAGAACTTGAGATACAACAACCGTTCTGCAAAAAAGTAGATTGAAAGTAGAATAATTTTGTTTGTTACGGCTATGGCGGGACAACCTTTCAGCGAGAGTTGCATCCACTTAAGTCAATTCCTGCCATGCTGTCGATTGACGTGGAGACGAGGGCAAGCGCGAAGTCTTGTAGACGTTTCTTCATCACCGGTTCTGGATACACATAGCTAGTTATGCTAAAATTAGTTCAAATCAGCCATGGTTGCTAGCTAATTAGCTAACAACTAGCTAAAGACTTATCTAAAAATTAGTCCACGTATTATCTCTCCTGTTTAAATGCACTAGACATAATTTTAAGTAGCAATTAGCTCTTGCATCAGACAAGCCCTTAGAACCATATCACTAGTAAAAAAAGGGCTTCTATTCCCGGCTGCCAACTCTCTTTATTCCCGGTTACGCAGCCGGGAATAGTAGTTCGGGAATAAATGGTTAGTAGCCGGGAATAGAAGTGGACCTTTAGTCCTGGTTAGTGATACCAACCGGGACTAAAAAGGTAGCCACGCCAGCGCCTGGGCTGGCCCCTTTATTCCCGGTTGGTATTACCAACCGGGACTAAAGGGTCTTTTTTTTTCTTTTCCTGCTTATTTCAATTGATGATTCTTTTTTGTTTTAATTTGGTTTTCGAATACGCATTATTCGCTGTAAAGTAATATACGTATACGCGCGCGTACTGTGAAGTTTTCGCTCGATCAATGCACGCAAGCAACACAAGTAAAAGTAAACTAAAACATAATATTACATTTCATCGTCACGTGGAAAGTTTACATTAATTGTATATTTCATCATCACATGTTCTTTGGATCAATATGAAATTTGGCTTTCATCATCACATATTTGGGTCATAGTAAAACTTGCCGCCGGGAGTTAAGACGTGATCATTCAGAAATCCACCTATTGTCTCTTGGATTGCTTTGAGATGGTGTGTGTCTAGGGTTTTTTCCTTCAACCAACGAGTCTTCAATTTGAGATATGAGATAAACAAAAAGTATATTAGTATATATATATATGTATCAACAATAATGATAAATAAATTATATCTATCACGAATATATATATATATATATAAATATATGTATGAAGAATATATATATATATGTGTGTGTGTGTGTGTGTACACTTACCCTTTTTCCTCTAGACTAGTTCTTTTTTAGCACACTCTCATGAACTCGCAAACATAGTATCCATAGAGATTGGTCCCCTTGGGCTGCAGCAGAACCCACTTTACGAGAAAAAGATTCGTCATCATCCGAGCGTGGAGAAATTGAACTAAGATAGGTATATAGTACTTACTTTGTATAGCACTACTTTCAGTGGCACTTTGCGTTTCATATGGTGTTCTTGAAGAGGAAAAAATAAAAAAAATATTTGGACCATTAATTTGCATGCAGAGAGACTGGAATAGTTTTGCTAGTGAGACTGCAATTAACTCTGAATAATATCTATCATCTTTTGGAACTCTTTTTGCTCTTTTCTCATCGAGTCCCAGATGCCTAGAAGACCTTTCTCCAGATCGAGTTCCATCAATATCCAGTGTTCACTGTCATGTCCATTAACACTCATTAATTAGCTAACAGGTATAGTGAACATATATATATGGATACACGATCGTCGACATTATGAACAATTACTTGAAGTTGTAGGGGAAGAGTATACATTTCTTGTCACGTTGCTTCTCTAAGAACATCTTGATATTGGCCTCCGTTTCTGCTTTCATGTTGGTTGGGGTTTAGGGTTTTTGAATACGATATGTGGATCAATGAAACCAATATCAAGACACACTCTCTTTTTTACACTCTCCCATCTCAAACCTGCATCATATATATATAGAGTGAGGATAATAAACACGTACATGTACGTGCGTAGCGACTTATTATTAATTAGTATAAAGAATCACTTACAGGACAATAGCGGTGATGAGAGTCTTGTCGAGAGAGTTTCGTGGACTAGTTGGTGTAATTCAACAAGCTAAATGTATATAACGTCATCGCCATGGAACCAATGGTCGTCTTTGATTCTGACAGAAATATAGAACTCTTTCCGTGACACGCGTCGAGGTACAAGGTGTTTAGCTTGAACAATTGTGTACCCAGTTCATTGATGGTCTTAGGATTCCATAGACTCACCGCCATGCTTATATTTCTACCATTCATCCGCTACCGGCGCACTTTTTAAGAGGAAATCGTCAAGGTCGATACCTCTCATAGCATAAAAGTTAGCAAATTCCGCCATATCCACTTCTTTATCAGTAGGTATTTCCATCATATCCAACATATCTATGTTTGAACCATATTCATTAGCAATAACTAGAGGAGGGGCTGATTGCAATTCTTGTTCTCCGAGTTGTGCAACAGTTTTCCCTGCTTTAGCAGCTTTCTTGATTATCTTGCTAAGAGTGTGGTCAAAGTCTGAAGGTGCCGAGGGCTTACGAGCTTGCCGCCTCTTTTTCTGCTCAGCTTCCACCATCCGTCTTAGTTTAGCTGGAGGTAGGTGGAAGTGCTTCTGCTCCTGCTGCTTCCTCTTTCCTGTGCCTGAGAAGAATGCTTCGACGGTTTTTTTAACCGCATCATCTAACTCCTCTTTACTATTGGACTTAGGTTGGGGGAGACCCTGCTGTGTGCGTATAGAAGACAATGAGTCAATTGTTATTTAAGAGGCAATATAAAATTAATAAAAAAATTGTTTCGTTCACCTTCATCCGTACCTATTATGCGGCAACGGCTTCCCGGGAATATTGATGTAGCGCTTGCGCCATGCAATGAATGACTTCTCTGCTTCTCCCACGGTCTTCTCCCCATCACCTCCATGAATGTCAAGAGGCACATTGCTAAAACCTTCAATAGCTTTATCCACCAAGACGGTAGCATATCCAGCTGGTACTATTGCCCCATGGATTCTTGGTGTCTTGGTACGGTCGATAGGGTTTACAACACCAATAGCCACCTTCACTGTGCCATTATCTTTTGGAATGTGTAGCTCACATGATGTAAAAGGTTTAGTGACGTCATCCACGGGGAAGCGCAGCTCTGCATCTTTTATGGCATCAGGCAGCTCCGTAGAAGCACACAACTGCTTCTCAACTAATCGGGGGGGCTAATGTTGATTCCCGGAGCTGTTGTAATCCCGTGGGCACTCAATTGTATTTGCACTTGCCTTGCGACTTCCTCTTGCATTTTCGCTTGCATTTCTTTTTCTCGCCTTTGTGATTCAAGCACCGCTTCCCGTGACTCAATAACATATTGCTGCAAGATGCGGATCCTCTCTGCCTCCTCATCCTTCCGTCTCTGGCGGCTTCTATACGAATCGATCCATTCAGGGAAACCTTGCACCCACGGAACGGCCCCTTTGCCTCTAGTTCGTCCACAATGCTCAGCGGTCCCGATGGAATATATCAGTTCATCTTTCTCTCTGTTGGGCCAGAATAGTCCACTATCTCTAGCTTTTAGAATTTGAATCAACCTTTCTGTTGCTCTTTCGAGTTTTGTGCCATGGACGAGCTTCCCGGTGACTGGGTCCAATCCTCCCCTATGACCTAAAAACCAACGCTTTGTGCGTTTAGGCCACGGTGCTGATTTAGGTACGACCCCCTTGGCAATAAGGTCTGTTTCTATTTTTTGCCACTTGGGAACGGAAGTCGCGTAGCCACCTGATCCCATGTTATGGTGGTATTGCTTTTGTCTGGAATTCTCTTGGTTCCTTCTCGCCCGTTCCGCACCCTATTCTGATGTCTTGTACTGTACAAATTCCTCCCAGTAGGGCCTTGCCTTCGCGATTGGGCCCTTATCATTCCAATTTAGAGTCTTGTTCTTCTTGACGTATGATTTGTACAGCTGCTTCTTCCAAGATTGAAATTGGGTGGCCATCTTCTTCATTGTACAGTGCCTAACTCGCTTCGTCAACCTTTCGTGGGTGATGTCTTCATGATAATCATCTGTTTGGAGCGTGAAATGTGCAAGAACATCTTGCCAAATCAGCTCCTTGTCCTTATCAGAGACATAACTAATATGAGGAGCATTGTTATTTTTTTCCATTCACAGGCATTGATCGGGAGCTTGTCCCTTACAAGGTACCCATAGTGGTACATGAATTTCTATGCATATTGTCCTAGTGGTTTGCCCAGCCACGTTGAATTCGAGATGATGTAGCGGCCTTCCAACGGCTTTTTGGCCCCTCGAACATTCTTTGTGTTCCCACAGTAGGTAAATCGATCCGCATTTGGCTATGTACGATAGAAACACAAAAAGTATTATAAAACGAAGGTCGATCCAGTGGGCTACATGTATGCATAATAAATAAATGAGAGCTAGATATTGAGAAATATATACCTCGCCGGAATTATCTTCATGAACAACTTCCTCAACAATATGATCGAGATTCAAGTATTGACTCCCGTCGTCTTCCTGCTGGTCATTATCAACATCGACATAATGTTCAGCGCCGACGTTGATAATATCCATCATTTCCGCCTCCAGGTCATCGTCTCTCGGGTCGGCCATAGAGATCGAGCCTAAACAATTATAAAACAATAATTATGCAATTAGGGTTTTATAGACATTTCATATATATTTCGGGGCGGTGGTGCCTGCGCGGGGCGGCCGGCCAGCGTCGGTGGCCGGGGAGGGTTTAGGGTGGTTTAGGGTGGTCTAGGGTTTAGGGTTTAGGGTATAGGCCACATGGTATCAGAATATAACACAATTGATTTTTTTCCTAAGGTAAAATTATACATGTATACATTAATTGATATATATATATACACACGCATTAATTTCGTACATATATACATTAATTGATATATATATATATATACATTTCATACATACATAATTTCATACATATATAATTTCATACATATATACATTAATACACATTTCGTTAATATAATTCATAAATATAATATATATATATACCGGCGGTTTAGAATTAATGGAGTGTTGGCGACGGGCGGTGGTGGACAGCGGCGCTGGATCGAGGCATGGGGGCTCCTGGGTGGGCGCGGCGTTGTCGGGGCTACTCCGGCGAGGTGTGGGTGGGCGTCGGGATGCCCTCCGGTGAGGAAGAAGAACCTGCACGGTCGGGCAGGGTGGCCCAGAAGCGAAATCGATGGCGGCTGGTGCGCGGCATGGCGTCGGGGGCAGCCAGGGCTCCTCCTTGAGGGGCGTGGCGTCGGGGCTACTCCGGCGAGGTGGGCGGGCGGCGGGGTGCCCTTCTGTGAGGAAGGCGGCGTCGGGGGTGGCCGGGAAGGCGAAATCAGCGGCGGCGTGGCGCGCGTGGGGTGTCGGGGGCGGCCGGGGCTCCCTCGATGTGCGCGGGCGTCGGGCTACTCCGGCGGGTGGGCGAGCCTCGGGGTGCCCTCTCCCGGTGAGGAAGGCGGCGTCGGGGTGTGGCTGGGAGGCGAATCGGCGGCGACGGAGCTCTGGGGACACGCCGAAGACGAAGACGATCGATGAGGAGAAAGAGAGAAGAGAGCCGGAGGTATATAGGAGAGGGACCTTTAGTCCTGGCTCCATCCACTGCCCGGGACTAAAGCACTATAGTCCCGGCTCTCGCCACCACCAATGGGACTAAAGGGGACCTTTAGTCCCGCCTCTCACCACCACCGACTAAAGGGGGACCTTTAGTCCCGGCTCTCGCCACCACCAGACTAAAGGGGGACCTTTAGTCTCGGCTATTGGAAGAAGCAGGGACTAAAGGATTTTTGGTGGGCAGCCAAATGTAGCCCATATTTAGTCCCAAATTGGTGGCAGAGCCGAGACTAAAGGTGGGCTACATTTCATTTCCATAGCGTTTAAGTAGATCAGTTTATTTTATATATGTTTTGTATTTAAATGTTTAAGTCTTATTATTTGCATGATAAATTCAATACTAGGCATAAAATTTTTTAGAAAAAGTAATAAACTTTACTTTCATTTATCAAGCTTTAAAAAATATGTGACCTAAACTATTGTGTTTTTTATTATAAATGTTGAACATAATGCAACTAATACTCACTATTTTCGTTAATGCAAAATGTAGACTTTCATTGAAATATTAAATTTATTGGTTTTCGACAGAAATTAGTTTTCACGTAATGGTAACGTAAATCTTTAGGTTCTTCATTAATCATTGTATAATTAATCGGTGAGTTCGAAGTGAAATTCAATTAAAGTTAAAAAGTACCAAACCACCTCAGAAAAATCTCAAACTTGATGGTGGCTACACACAGGGCATTTGTAGTCTTGAGAAAAAGTTTGAGACCAATCCAGCACTAGAAAGCAAATGGACTTCACAGTCCCAGAGAACTTAGGTGTATAGATAGAGTTGGACAAAAGGTTTTATATACCTCTGTGAAGCACGTTGACTCCGCCTATGTCGAAACGGCTTGAAATCTTTTTGGCAGTCATTTACACCTAAAATATGGCCCCACACAAGATCTTAGATTTTTCTGATAATTATTTTTATTATTACATTTTTCTTTGTGTTGCGTGAGACGAAATACGGTGAATTACATATTGAAAACAATATAATTTTGCATCAACCTCCACAAATATTTGTCTCCTAGGGCACAATAGACCATTTGGCAAAGTTTGGCACCATTCCAGATCATTTAGGGGTGGACCCAGTTCAATGTATAATTAATCGGTGAATTCGCGTGAAAATTCAATTAGAGTGAAAAAAAGTACCAAACCATCTCAAAAAAATCTCAAACTTGGTGGTGGCTACACATAAGGCATTTGAAGTCTTGAGAAAAAGTTTCAGCCCAATCCGGCACTAGAAAGCACATGGACCTCAGAATCCCAGAGAACCTAGGTGTATAGATAGGGTTCGACGAAAGGTTCTATATACCTCTGTGAAACACGTCGACTCCACCTATGTCGAAATGGCTTAAAAAAATTTTGGCAGTCATTTACACCCAAAATATGGTCCCACACAAGATCTTAGGTTTTTCTGATAATTATTTTTATTATTACATTTTTCTTTGTGCCGCATGAGACGAAATACGGCGAATTACATATTCAAAACAATATAATTTTGCATCAACCTCCACAAATATTTGTCTCCTAGGGCACAAGAGATCATTTGGCAAAGTTTGGTACCATTCCGGATCTTTTCAGGGGTGGACTCAGTAACGTATAATTAATCGGTAAAGTCGCGTAGAAATTCAATTAAAGTGAAAAATTTACCAAACCAATTCAGAAAAATCTCGAACTTGGTGGTGGCTTCACACTGGGCATTTGAAACCCTGATAAAAATTATGAGATCAATCAGGCACTAGAAAGCATATGGACCAGAAAATTCAAAGTATAGTTAACAAAAGAATATAATCAATTAAAGGGTCTTTTCTCTTATTAAATAAATGTTTGGGTGCTTTCTTCTCGAGAAAGTGACTTAGTTCAGATGGCTAGCTAGTGCGCTGCGGTTTGGACCTTGGCTATGAGGTCGTGGGTTTAATGCCTGGCTGTCCCTTTTTTTTTGTCCAGCGTGACTATATTATTTTATCAAGAAAGATTTTATCCCAGTTATAGCCCAGAGCCAGGACTAAAGGTCATCCTTTAGTCCCGGCTGAAGCCTCAAGCCGGGAGTAAAGATTTATTCCTGGTTGGAGGGTCTAGCCGGGACTAAAGGACTGGGCTATAACCGGGACTAATTGTTGCCTGCCGTTACCACACATTTGGGACAGGAACTTTGTATCCTTATTTGAGGATACAATCGGGACTAATAGTCCCTTTAATCCTGAACACAAAAATACCAATACTAAAGGTAAAAATAGAGACAGGATGAAAGGTCTGTTTTCTAGATGCAATCCATTCGAAAGCAACTGAAGATTATCAACCCAGTGTACCAGCACTATCTGTCAATCCTGGTAGCGCTCATGAAACCAATGGCGTGGCTCTAATTCAACGGCCGATGGCCGATGGTTTTGCGCTCGCCACAAGCTCTCGACGGGCCATGGCACGTCGATTTGCCGTCTCCTCTGCGGCTCTGCTCTTTGCCGGGAACCCAACCCAACCCCGAAACCGCACCAGCAACAGCAACGGGGGACAGGTCGCCTCCCCGGCCCACCGATCGAACGAGAGCAATAACAAGCGGGTAGGATCGCTACAGGTGGAGTGTGAAAAATCGTGCGCAGGAGCCAGGAGGCAAAGGAACATGTGGTCAAGACGCCGCGTTTTCACTTTGCTTGGGCCATGTTAAGTTGCCCCAAATTTTAGAATTTGGCACTATGCAAAAAGAAGATTTTCCGTCACATTAAACTTGCGGTACATATATGAAGCACTAAACGTTGACGAAATCGAAAACTAATTACACAGTTTAGTTGTACTTTACGAGACGAACGTTTTGAGTCTAATTATTACCAAATAAAAACAAAATACTACAGTACGCAACAGTGCCGCTACAGTACTAGGATTCCGGCTGCGCCGAATCCGGGCGAACTAAACGCGGCCTTGTTTAGTTAAAAAAAATTCCCAAAAAGTGCTGCAGTAGTCATCACATCGAATCTTGCGATACGTGCATGAAGCATTAAATGTAGATAAAAAAAATTAATTGCACGGTTTAGTTGAAAATTCCGAGACAAACATTTTAAGCCTAACTAATCTATAATTAAACACTACTTACTAAATAAAAACGAAAATACTATAGTAGAAAAATTTTCAAAATTCACGAACTAAACACAGCATTTACTTGTAATGGGCCTCCCGCCCCCGGAAATCTCCGTTTTCTCCCAGACAGACAACCGTGTACTACACGTCTACACCCACTGCAGCCAGCTGCAGTAGGGGCAGGAGAGCTGGGTCCCACCTTCCAACGCGCCTATATAAACCACCCATCCGGCATCCGCCACGGCCGTAACAGCAGCTCACTCCCCTCGCCACCTCTCACCTCGCATCAGCAGTAACCACACACATCCTCCATCTCCCCTCGCCGCCCTCCTTGCACGGTGCACGCTGAGCAGCGAGCGAGTGACGAGCTAGCCATGGACCAGCTGCCCAAGCGCTCGGCCAACTACGTGCCGCTGAGCCCCGTGGGGTTCCTGCCGCGCGCCAATGCCGTCTACGGCGACCGCGCGTCCGTCATCTACGGGCGCGTCCGCTTCACCTGGCGCCAGACGTACCAGCGCTGCCGCCGCCTCGCGTCCACGCTCCTGTCCCTCGGCGTCCGCAGGGGCGACGTCATCTCCGTGCTCGCGCCCAACGTGCCGGCCATGTACGAGATGCACTTCGCCGTGCCCATGGCCGGCGCCGTGCTCAACACCATCAACACGCGCCTCGACGCCGGCGCCGTCGCCACCATCCTGCGTCACTCGGGGGCAAAGCTCTTCTTTGTCGACTACGACTACGTGCGCCTCGCCAGCGACGCGCTCCGCCTCCTCGCCGCCGACGGCACGCCCGCCGTCCCGCTCGTTGCCGACATCGATGACATTGACTCGCCCACGGGGGCCCGCCTCGGAGAGCTCGAGTACGAGGCGCTTGTCGCGCACGGCGACCCCGACGCGGAGCTCCCGCCGCTCGAAGATGAGTGGGACGCCGTCACGCTCAACTACACCTCCGGCACCACGTCCGCGCCCAAGGGCGTCGTCTACAGCCACCGCGGGGCGTACCTGAGCACCACCAGCCTGCTGCTGCAGTGGGGGGTGACCACCGAGTCCGTCTACCTCTGGACGCTCCCCATGTTCCACTGCAACGGCTGGACCTTCACCTGGGGCATGGCGGCGCGAGGCGGCGTCAACGTCTGCATCCGCGACGCGCGCCCCGCCGACATCTACCGCACCATCGCGCGCCACCGCGTCACCCACATGTGCTGCGCGCCCGTCGTCTTCAGCATCCTCCTCGAGGGCGACGGCGCCACCAGGCAGCTCGAAACCCCCGTGCACGTCCTCACCGGCGGCGCGCCGCCGCCGGCTGCGCTGCTGGAGCGCGTCGAGCGGATCGGCTTCAAGGTCACCCACGCCTACGGCCTCACGGAGGCGACGGGGCCTGCGCTCGCGCGTGCGAGTGGCGGGACCAGTGGGACCGCCTCCCGCTCCCGAGGCGCGCGCGCCTCAAGGCGCGCCAGGGGGTCAGCGTCCTGTCCCTCGCCGACGCCGATGTCAAGAACGCCGACACCATGGTCAGCGTGCCCCGCGACGGCAAGACCGTCGGGGAGATCGTCCTGCGGGGCAACGGCGTCATGAAGGGCTACCTCAACAACCCGGAGGCGAACGACAACGCCTTCAGGGGCGGCTGGTTCCTCACCGGCGACGTTGGCGTCGTGCACCAGGACGGCTACATCGAGATCAAGGACCGGTCAAAGGACGTGATCATCAGCGGCGGGGAGAACATCTGCAGCAAGGAGGTGGAGGAGGTGCTGTTCCGCCACCCGGCAGTGGCCGACGCGGCGGTGGTGGCGATGCCGCACCCCGCTGGGGCGAGACGCCCTGCGCTTTTGTCGTACCCAGGAACAACGCTGCCGAACTCAGCGAGGACGACGTGCTCGCGTTCTGCGAGAAGCGCATGGCGCGCTTCATGGTTCCCAAGAAGGTGGAGGTCGTCGGAGCGCTACCTAGGAACGCGCTCGGAAAAAGGTTGAGAAGGTCAAGCTCCGGCAGGCGGCACGGAAGCTGGCGCCCACCGTACCGGCGCAGAAGCCGAAGGGAAGACGACGACCTCCTCGACGACGGTCGGCGGTCGCCGCGAGGAGCAGCCGGTGGCGCACATCATGGCGGTGTCAAGGCTATAGGTAGCACAACACTATAGAGCACAACTAGTGCTACACAGTGCACTTCTTTTTTGCCAAAGCTTTGGAGCTACTCACACGTGCCAGAGCTCCAAGGATGGCGTAGTTTTCAACTTCTTTTATGGGCAGTGATAGTGTGGGTACGGATGTGGATCACTCGCACGCATTTGTTTTCCATCATTTTTCTCTTTGTACTTTGATACTTAATTATGTGCACATTGTAAAGTACTACATGCTATAAAAACGTGAAGGAAATAAATTTTGTTCTTGCTAAAAAATTGCGATAAAAGTTTCTGCTTTGCACTTCTTCTTTTTTGTCTCGTTACTAATCCGGTGGTAGTGACAGAAATTAGACTATAAATTCCGGTGGCAACAACCTGTTCGTTTGGTCGTATCTGGCTTATAAGCCATGACTTATCAGCCAATAAATAGTATTTTTCTCTTACACCAAACCAGACAACAGTACTTTTAGTCATGGCTTATAAGTCAAACCAGTCCAAACGAATGGGGGCGTTGAGAGTTATTAGCGTCCGGACGCTGGTCTAAGTATCGGACGACTCCGTCAGTTGACAGCGTGCACGACCTTTCATGTCCGCTGACCGCCTCCAGTAAATTATTATTATAGACCATTACACACTGTCTTGCGTCACCCACTTGCATCAGCCGGACCGTTCCCTCGCGTCATGCCATCGTTTGCTGCATCGTTTCACGTGTCCATGCGGGCCCGTGCCGCCCCGAACGCCACCAGCATCGAGGAGAGGAAGAGAGGGCGACAGATGCCTAGCCGACGCTGTAAGGAGGAGACAGCGAGGCGAGGTAACAGAAAGCAAGATGGGAGATGCAACACCTAATCTATTTCTGAAACATTCAGATGCAACACTTTCAAGAAAAACACTTTCAAAAACACTTAAAAATCATTGTAAAACATACGCAACATCCATATAAAATAATTGTAACATATGTGTGAAACATATGCAACATCTAAACATACACACTTGCAACATACGTCTGAAAAAACAGATTAAACATTTGGAACAAACGTTTGAACATACGTGTACAACTATTACGACGTATGCGATATTCTAATCTATTTTTGTAACATCGTCGTGAAACACTCGGAAAACTTGAAGCTACTCACACGTGCCAGAGCTCCAAGGATGGCGTAGTTTTCAACTTCTTTTATGTGCAGTGATAGTGTAGGTACGGATGAGGGTCACTCGCACGCGTTTGTTTTCCTCCCTTTTTCTCTTTGTACTTTTATACTTAATTATGTGCACATTGTAAAATACATGGTGTGAAAACGTGAAGGAAATAAAATTTTGTTCTTGCTCAAAAAATTTGTGATAAAATTTCTGCTTTGCACTTCTTTTTTTGTCTCGCTGATCCAGTGGTAGTGACTAAAATTAGACTGATCACTTATAAATTCCAGTGGTAATGATTGGAAGCGGGGTAGTAGACTTCGCTTTATTCCACCAGCGAAGCCCCTCTGATATACTCTCTCCCTGAATAAATTAATTTCTAGAAATCTTTTAACTTAGACCAATTTTATGTAAAAGAGCACTAACATCTATTACATAAAAAGTATAATGTGAAAATTTAGAGCCTGTTTAGCATGGCTCCACTCCACAACTCCACCAACTCTAGCAAAAAAATCCAGCCAAACACATCAACTCCAAAACTCCATGGAGCTGCCAACTCCATGGAGCTGTGGTGCAAATAGGGGTGGAGTTTTAGAGCACCTCTTTTGCTGCTCCAAAACACCTTTCTTGAACCTCCTCGTGGAGTTGGTGGATAATTACCCACCAATGCCACTCGTTACACAAAAAAAAAACGATTCGTTTTCTTTTCTTGCGAACCCGCGCGTTGTGACTTCCTCCTGCCGTCGTTGCTTCTCATCGGGCCCCTCCCTCACGTCCGGCTGGCGGCCACGCCACGGCCCCCCATCGCGCGCCCTTCCACCAGCGGCGCCGTTTTTCTTCACGCCGCCACCGCCATCGCTCCCTCCACGCCCGGCGGCGGACTACGACAGCGACGGGTGCCTCCGGTGCTGAACCGCTGTCATTAAGCACAACTTCATGCAGTTGCGCGCGAGGTGGTGGAACTGCGAGCGTCGCGTCCGGGGGGCGCGACTCCTTCCTCGCGCTCCTCCACAACGCCTCCTTGCTGGGCTTCGACGTGGCGAGCACGCGCAAGGCCTGCTGCGGCGGCGGCAGCGAGTACAACTTTGACTGGCGGCGGATGCGTGGTTTTGCGGGGGCGACGGCGTGCGTGGAGCCAGCGGTGTACCTGAGCTGGGACGGGATCTACATGACCCAGGCCGCGTACAGGGCCATGTCCAGTCTCATCTACCATGGAAAGTACCTGGAGCCGCAAATACTCACCTTCCCGGAGAAATATGGCCAGACATAGATACGATCTTCATACAGGATAGATAGGGATATGCTATAAGATAGAGGCACGTACGTAATGAATCAAGCTATGAGCAAAGTACACGTTGCAGCAGCAATGGTGCCATCACGATTTCATCTAAGCTAAACACAGGAGACTTCTGAAGAAGAAGATGGAGCAGAGAGGATGACAAGTGGGACTTGAATTGGGGGACAACAATGGCAATTCACACTGGAATCGGTTTTTTTTTGAGCTAAGAGCACCCATCTAGCCAAACACCACATTTTAGTTTTGGAGTTCTGGAGTGGAGCTGGCTCCACCTGGAGTTTTGGAGTGGAGCAGCTCTACCCAGAGCTGGAGCCATGCCAAACAGGGCTTTATTTGACCAATTTTCGCATCATTTTTTTCTACATTAGGTTTCCATAGCATCTTCTACAACAAAGTACATATATAAACGCGCTATGGAAGTGCATCGTTACAATTTTTTTAGATGATTGAACTATTGAAGTATATTTTCGAATTGGTTTTCATGTCTCCATCCAATACGTGTTTTGCACTATATATTCTACTGTATACACGTTAAGGATGTTTATTATAGCTCAAGTCCAAAGGGGCAAAGGGGTATCTTGTATCCCAGTCGCTTGTTATGTTCATGTTAACGATTTCTGGCCATTAAATGCGAGCGGGACATTCGCCCTATTCGTTTGGCTTATAAGTCGTACTTTTTCAGTCAACGAATAGTATTTTTCTCTCACAATAAATCAATAAATAGTACTTTCAGTCATGACTTATTAGCCAAACGAATGGGGCAATTGTAGAGGGAGCATCTGCCATTCAACTGAGTTGTTTGATTATAGAATCAGTAACACAAACGTAAAGGAATCAAAGCTTTGGACATTATGACAACAGATACGACGCTGATCGGATTTCATTTCCATTTGCATTACTATTCATTATTCAACGAACCAAACAACACGTAAGATGTAATGTAATACACTTACATTTATCAAGTGAAAAAAAGAGAGAAGGTTCTCAACGAAATACAGCATGCTTCCCCGAATAAAGGAGACCCAAAGAAATTCAAAACAGACAGCGTCCACTAGTAGTGACAACATAACACATTTACCACTTAAATCTTGCTTGATTCGCCAAGAGCCAAGAGATGGAGCTGATCTGCAACATGCATTATCTTTTACAAAAAAGCAAAAGGAGTCACCATCACCAATTATAGCGGGTCCTCTGTTTAGATAGCAGCAGATCAACAAAAGGCTCCAAAACTCCTTCCTTATTTAGTACGCAAATATGCATAAATGGCACAGCATATATATATATATATATATATATATATATATATATATATATATATATATATATATATATATATATATATATATATATATATATATATATCATCGGTTTCTCGTTTGATAAACGGTACGTTTTTCGTTTTAAAAAACTGATTACGTTTTCCGTGCTTCAAGCTTCTCTATGTCCGTGCATCTTTTAAAACTTTTTATTTCTCTGTCTACTTCTTATCGAACAGGAAAATCTGTGTCCGCACCACTGATCTCTCTCCCTCTCTGTCTCGTGGATCATTATTACTTTGTTGTGCTGATAACGAGCATTATTCTGAGAAGAACAGGAAAAGCCCGAGACGTAACGAAATACACTCAGGGCCGTTTACATCCTTCATTCTGGACGAATTAAAATCTACTTAATAGATTAGACTATTTGACTTGAAATTTGTCATTCCATAATTTTTTCAAGCTTACAAATAAGCATGTCTCAAATTCATAGGGTAGTAGATGAAAATGGATTCTATAGATCACTATGCTATAATTCTACTCTTCAACTTATAGTACACTCTTTAACTCACTTCCCTACAATAAAAATACAACGTATAAGTATTGTCCCTCGTATGCCTAACAATAAATATACAAATATATTTCATATATAACTATATTAGCATAATTAATCTATGTCTAAATTGTAATTATTAGAATGAATTCAATTTAAGGATCTAGACTTGCCCTCACATTTATCTGAGTGAGAAAAAAAAGAAGATTCTCAACGTAACACAGCATGCTTTCACTAATAAAGGAGACCCGAAGAAATCCAAAACTGACAACGGGACCAGTAGTGACAACCACATTTACCACTTAAGTCATTATTTAGATACGGATGTGTATGTATTTATCTTAATCTATATATGTCGAAGTGGATGCACATATGCATCCAACAAAGCATAAATCTTGTTTGATTCGCCAAGAGCCAAGACATTGAGCTGATCTGCAACATGCATTATCTTTTACAAAAAGTAAAAGGACTCACCAATTATAGCTCGGATCCTCTGTTTAGATAGCAGCAGATCAACAGAAAGGCTCCAAAGTACCTTCCTTAGTCTATAAAAATAATATACTACTATTATATATCTCGGTTTCTCGTTTGATAAAAGGTACGTTTTC